AGAGGTCGAAACTGGAAAAACAGAGAAACGAATCTGCCCAAAAACGACCGGTCATTACTGTTCAGGCGACCGGTCTCACATGAATCTGTCCAAAAACGACCGGTCATCACTGTTCACGACCGGTCGCACTGTTCATTTCACTGTTCACAGGTGATAAATAGGTGATAAAAGGGTGATAGAAAGTGCTGTTTTTGTTTTTCTTTGGTTTCTTGTGTTATTTCATTTCTTTTACATTTCTTTACTCATTTTTAGTTTCCAATTTGCATTTGTGCATTTGTGGTGTGTTAAATTAGTGTTATTTACGTACTCAAATTAGAACTTATAGGAAGCCGACAAGTTCTTCATGGGATCGACCCCGTACTTCCATAATCTATACCTCAATAGATTCGTGCACTTGCGGGTATTTTTAATTGGTTGTTTGCACATTAATTTGTGTCCTTTTAGGAATGCAACACAACCTCAATGAAAAAATCAGCATACTTGAGTAACACTACCTGTGACATCTCCCTCCATAATAAACATAATCCTCCACTCAAGCCCCGGGGTTCAACAGCATGCATATATTGCATACCAATTTGTCGCTTCAAATAACTATAATGGTGACTCCGATTTTTTGTTTCTAAAAGGACCACTATGTTGGGAGTTTGGAGCCTCACCTGCTCCTTAAGACTCGAAACTGTCAGAACACTCCTTAAGACTTGAATTAGAGTATCGTTAAAAATTAACTCCCTTCGAGATCCCATGCTACCAGCCCCAACACACTCTGACGCCAATCGATTATCAGCACACATCCGTTTATCCATTCTGCCCAGCTCCTCTTCTTCTCTTCCCCTCTTACTACGAAAGCCTACACCACCTGTAGTAGAGCAAACAGGTTGTCCAAATATAAGTGGCCCCAGATTAAAAGGATCAGACCCTTGCGTCAATGCCCCAGATTGAAGCCCAAATCCCCCTCCTACCACAGCTTGGTTGTCTAAGGCCTCCTGTGTTGTTCCCTGCATTGTGGGTCCTTTCTCCACCACGATCGCCGTATTGAAATCAATATCGATCCCACTGTCGCCAGAATTTTGGACCGTGGATGATGCCACCATGATTCCCTGTGGCCCCAGAATTCCAGCCTCCCATGTAGCCTCCCGAATCTATCTACTCCGTTCTTCCACCTCCCTTACTGTTTGGATTCTCTCAGCTAGCGTAGAATCCCCGAATTTGGACTTGCAAGGGGGTATCACCGTCTCCTCTCCATCTCCCAACCCCCCCCCCCCCCCCCCCCCTAGCGTAGAATCCCCGGATTTGGACTTGCAAAGGGGTATCACCGTCTCCTCTCCATCTCCCCCCCGCTGAGCCCCTCGTCTTACCCGCCAGTCTCTGTAGTCAGCTTTGCTACCCCCCGTACCATCTTTCATACCCCTAGGAAAAAAAAGACCTGGGCCTGTGAATATGCCCAGCAGCATTGTCCCCAGAAACCCAAGGGCTGGAGTCAGAAGACTCTTTTCGTCCGCGCAAGTCCTCACTTGCCTCTAACCCTGCAAAAGCCATCATCTGATCCTGCATATTTTGAGAACTAGCCGCCGACGCCAGTTTCTCAACACAAATACGATTGGGATGTCCCAAACACCCACAGAGAAAGCAGTATTCGGGCAAAAATTCATAGCGAAAGTTCACCCAAATTGCATCTTCTTCAGGAAACTCAACGAACGCAACCCGCATAAGCGGTTGCCGCACATCTGTCCGAATGCGCACGCGTAGGAACCGCCCTATACATTTGTCCCCCTCTGTATGGTCAATGTCCAACACTTGCCCCAGAACTGCACCAATTTTTTTGGCCACCACAGTGGTCATATTTAGCAACGGAACGCCATGCATCTGTACCCAAAAGGACGCCATCGATGCCCCCACCTCCCGCACAGCCGCGCGGCTATACTGCTAGAATATTCTATTTATGGAGTACAGCCGCCCGGCTATACCCTTAAAATATCCTTTCTAAAATTTTCTTTTTTATTACTTAAATAATATCTTATTTAAATACTTTCATTCGTGGAAATGAAAAGGAAAGAAGTATACTAAATAGAAAAGGAAGAAATATATTGTAATACTACGAAATAGAAAATATATTAAATTGGGTGGATGTTGTGAGCCTAGTCAAAAAGTAATAAAATATTCCAACCAAAAAGTAATAAAATATAAATATTTGACAAAAGTTGATTTGGATATGCTATAGGTCCCACTGTACTTTTGAAGCAATTGGAGTCAACCAAAATTTTCACGATGAGTGGTAAAAATCGTAACAAAGAGCAATTGTCTCGAACGCTAAAATCGTAACTGTAGCATAACTAAAAGGTTAGTCAACAAAAATGGTGAGAAGTCACGAAAAGAAGGTTACTATTGCCTAATTTTTTTTGTAGTGTGTGATTTTATTTTTTTCTCAATTTTGATCACATAATTTGAATTTGTTTGCAATTTAAAGATGATTTTGATCGATTATTATTTTTTAATTGGCTCCAAATGAGATAAAATACAATTGTTTAAAATCATGAATATTACTCAAGAATTTTTAAATTGAAAAACATAAAATAAAATTAGCGGATTTATAAGAACAATTTTGAACACCTTTTCTAATTGGTTTCAAATATTTTTTTAAAAAAACTTATTTGACATCATAAATATCAAGAGTTGTTTGTTTTTTTATTTGGTTTTATTAATCCCAAGTATGATTGTGTTTTTGCCCTTGCTTCCATCGATCCTAATCAATCTTAGCTTTCCAACCATAAATTAAACAATTTCTTTCAATATATGTACGTCATCGTTCTATAAAATCGAAAAGAGATTGTAATTTTCATGACTTGTCCTATTTCCACTCACCTATCCTATTTCCCCACCCACCTTTGTTGAGAACTCTGATATAAATGAAACTAAGAATAAGAACACAACAAGCTGGATTGAATGACTTAGTTTTATTAACAATAACTTTGGCTTAAATAGCCATTCAATACACGATCTTAACAGAAACGAGAAAGCAGCCCACTTAGCAGAAATATAGCCAAGTGGTAACAGAAATGTGGACTAATTCAAATACAAGTAGATGTCCCTAAAAACTAGGACTTTATTCTAACAAACTGCAGTAAACTCCTTCATTCCCTCCCTTAAACTAAATTCTGTGAAGCAATTAGTTTATATCAGAAATTTCACATACTCCCAGCAGCTTTCGAAGCTTCTGAAAAACGTCAAGCTTCAATGGTTTGGTCATAATGTCCGCCACCTGATCTTGACTCCCACAATGAACTAATTCAATTGTACCCTCCTTAGTAAGATTCCTTAAGAAATGAAACCTCACATCAATATGCTTGCTGCGTCCATGCATAACTGGGTTTTTAGACAGCTTGATGGTTGAACTGTTGTCACACATCACAGTAGTACAGCTTTCATCAGATTGTCCCAGCTCCTTTAAAATTCTCTTCATCCAGACTCCTTGACAAGCACAGACTGCAGCTGCCACGAACTCAGCTTCTGTGGTTGATAAAGTCACAATAGGCTGCTTTTTGGAACACCATGAAACAGCACTTGAACTCATTAAAAACACATAACCAGATGTACTCTTCCTGTCTTCCATATCTCCGGCATAGTCGCTATCCGTATACGCCAACAACTCACCATCTCCTCCTTTCTTATAATGAGTTCCTTTCTTATAATGAATTCCATAGTTCACAGTCCCTTTCAAGTATCGAAGCGCTCTCTTAGCTGCCTGTAAATGAATCTCCGTTGGTTTTGCCATGTATCTACTTATGAGACAAGTAACAAACATCATGTCAGGTCTCGTGGCAGTGAGATACATCAAACTCCCCACCAACTGCTTGTAGTACGTCTCATCAACAAAGTCTCCATTTTCGTCTCTGCTTATTTTGAAACCTGGAACTATTGGACTGCCCACCGAATTACTTTCCATCATACCAAACCTTCTCAAAACCTCCAATGCATATTTCCTTTGGCATATATAGATACCATCAGACCTTTGTAGCACCTCGATCCCAAGAAAAAACCTCATCCTCCCCAAGTCAGACATATCAAACTCTCTTAACATAGAGCTTTTAAATTCAAACATCATAACTTCATCATTACCAGTAAAAAGTAAATCATCAACATAAACACTTACAATAATTATTTTTCCTTCTCTGCTTCTCTTTGTGAATAATGTCTGCTCACTATCACACCTCTGAAACCCTTCACCAATGAAGTGTGCTTCGATTCGACTAAACCAAGCTCGTGGTGCTTGTTTTAATCCATACACGGCTTTGTGTAACTTGTAAACTAGATGTTCACTACCCTTTTTTTCATATCCTCTTGGTTGCTCCACATAAACATCTTCACTCAGCTCACCATGGAGAAAAGCCGACTTGACATCCAGCTGAAAAATTGTCCAATTCTTCTGTGCAGCCAGAGCAATAATCATCCTTATTGTATCCATCCTTGCCACTGGTGCAAAGACTTCTGTATAGTCCACTCCATACTTTTGAGAGTACCCTTTAGCAACCAAACGAGCCTTGTATTTATCAATCTTTCCATGCTCATTGTATTTGGTTTTGTAAACCCACTTCACTCCTATTCTTTTGGCCCCAGCTGGCAGCTCAGTGAGTGTCCATGTCTGGTTCTTTTCGATGGATTTGATTTCACTATTCATGGCCAATCTCCAATTTGCACTCTTCACAGCTTCCTCAAAATATAACGGATCAGTTGACTCCACTAATGCCATATGAACTTCATCCTCAAAAAGACCTTCACCACTAACATAATCACCCATCCACGTAGGAGGTTGTCTCACACGAGATTGCCTTAACTCCCTCACTCTCTCTTCACCCTCACTAGAACCATTTTCCTCTTCTCTAACTCCCTCACCACGAGTCTCTCCTATCTCTCCATCAGTATTTTCTCCATTCCCATTGTCACTCACCCCTTCTTCATTCTCACCATCACCCTCACCCCATTCTAAGTCTACTACTACTTGTTTTTCATAACTCACGTCCCAATCCCATTGTTTTTCTTCTTCAAAAATTACATCTCTACTCACAACAACTCTCTTAGCAATAGGATTAAATAGCCTGTAACCTTTTGATTCCTCACTAACCCCCAATAGCACACAAGTAATGCTTCTATTATCAAGTTTAGTCCTCCTTTCTTCTGGAACATGAACGTGTGCTATGCAACCAAAGACCCGAAAATGATCTACTGAGGGTTTCACTCCACTCCAAGCCTCCTCTGGTGTAACATCTTTAACTGCCAATGTAGGACACCTGTTTAGGACATAAATGGTCCAGTTCACTGCCTCTGGCCAAAAAATCTTGGGAATGTTCTTGTCAGATAACATGGAACAAACCATGTTCCTCACTGTTCTATTTTTCCTTTCAGCGACACCGTTCTGTTGCGGAGTATAAGTGGTGGTCAACTGCCTTTTGATCCCATGTTCTGTTACGGAGTATAATCGGTGGTCAACTGCCTTTTGATCCCACTTTGTTTGCAAAAATCATTGAATTCATTTGAATTGAATTCTCCTCTTCTATCAGTGCGAAAACACTTAACAAATAACCCTGTTTCTTTTTCAACCAAAGTCTTGAAGCATTTAAAGGAATTTAAAGCCTCTGACTTCTCTACCAAGAAATACACCCATGCTTTTCTACTATAATCATCAATAAATAACAACATGTACCTCTTGTTGCTATTAGAAGTAGGAGTGATCAGACCACAAATATCTGCATGAATAAGTTCCAACTTCTGAGTTGCTCTCCAAGTACTCTTCTTTGGAATAGGATCATGATGTTGCTTCCCGTTGATGCAATCAGTGCATGTCTCACTTGAGGCAGAGAGTTGAGGAAGTCCACGTACCATGTTCTTGTACAGCAAGGTTCTCAAACCTTTATAACTTAGATGCCCATACCTCCGATGCCAAAGATGAAACAGGTTCTG